ATATATACGTAACAGTTACTGGTCATTTGCATGTGATTCAACCCGGAGCACTATCACATGAAACATCAGCTTTTACATTTTATAGGTATTTGCTGACCAGCACTCAGCTCGCTCACCTCAACCTTGCTTTTTTACGATCGTAGTTACTCCGTTTTCAGCACTCGACACTCATTTTGTTCCGTCTTCTCAGGTATTTTGTGCGACTGGTGTCTTCTTAGACAGTACTCGATGTTCCACAGATGGATCAGTGCCCTTGAACTATCTCTTCAACCGACCCAAGTTGGTGAGAACGAATACTGGACAAACCTCGTGCGATGGCGCTGTGGTGGCTAATGCTTGCCAGATCACCTCAGCTGATAGCAATTCAAATCTGGGCACTTCAGCTGCGCATCCGATGGACCTAAAACCGCGGTTAAGCAACGCAACATCACATTTGGTGAGGTTGCTTTTCGATCAACACTTTGAAAGTCCGGGATAATGACTCATGCGTGCCCATTTTTCATGTGCGATTTAAAATATTGCTTTTGTGTATTTCAATGAGTTATTTTAGTCGCGTCTTACGAAATCCTCGGATTACATGTAGTGCTTGACATTGTCTTGAGGAAGACGCATTTGTTCAAGTGCCATGAACCTCGTTCTATGAACCAGCGAAAATGACATCACAACCAGGGGTAAAGCGGTCCAAACCGGTTGACGATGGTTGTCTCCACGAGTATCGCCTTACTTATTGCGTCTGTTATCTTCCACTGGACACGCCGTGCATTATTTTGGCCTGATCAGTGTGACTCATGTTAGTTCAATAAGATGCATACTCAGTTCCCCGTATAGTCACGTTTGTTTTTATTAATTGGCCTTGGGTCAGGATGGAGTCGGATCCCGAGGTGCCAAGTCACACGGGCGATTTCTTCCTTGTTTATCACACAAGGGCCAGACTGTTCCCCGCGGGACACCGTACCCGCCGATTGGTTTGCGCGACTAGGTAATTGCAATCCCATGTGAGGTTTTAATCAGCTGTTGGCTTTCCGGCATTCATCTGCATACTGATCAGCCGTTAGAAAATCCGTTCTGGGGAGTCATCTACGCTCACCTGATGAAGGTGCTTCTGTAGCTGAGTTCTCCGAGATCCGGCCATGTCTTTATCATAAAAATCCAGCAGAAATCCAAAGCATATGACTCGGTTACTATCAGACTCTCGGCGACAGCCGGTGACTACTATCCAGTAGGCAGTTGATCATATGGACATAAGAACAGCTGGTTGAATGCAAATTCTCTCCCCTAACCACCTTTAACTTGACCTGTGTGGCTTCTCAAGTTTATTATGATTAAAGCAACTGATGTCGACCCGTGTTGTGTTATTGATGATGTTAATATACGCACAACAGCCTTTCCTTCAGACTGCAGCTTCGTAGGGACTGATCGAGTGGCCTTTCGGCAGCACCACTTACGGAGAGCTGCTCGGAATATGCCATTTTTAGACCTTCAGTAGCTGGACATTTTGCTGTATCCTACTGCATATCAAGCATGGCGCTGCAAAAATCGGACTGTATACATGACCCCGGTTAGCGACTGTACGTCCACCCGATGTTTGCCACCAATGTTTCTCTAGTAGCTGTCTGCCATCTTTTGCTTGCGTTCCTGAATGTGAGGCAGTTTCACTATGGCCTGTTAACCGCTTCGGAGACGACGTTCAATTCCCTCGGTAGTTCGAAAGTGTCATTTTCAATGTGAGCTCATCGCCCTCTGTTGTTCCCCACGAGTTACCTGTTGATATCTGATACCTTGCACATAGTGGTCATCTACACCTGTCCCTTCTCTAGGAGTTATCACTTTTGTTGAACACCCAGTATAGCTTGGTGCTCACTGACTTTCTGTAAATCACACCTACTGTGTTATTGAACGGCAACACAAAGGAGACATTCGATTTTTAAACTAGGTTTCGCCTTTTAAGCGAAGTCAACTTCAGGCGAAAAGAACTGTACAGCCGTTTCATTCTTATTGGGAATAATCAACGGCTTGCATCTAAAAAATCTCCAGAATTATTCGAACTCGCAACCTCGCAACTAGTTGCTAAAACTAAATGTTTAGCTTTGAGCGAAGAATTATCCACATGACGTAAGTATGAACCTTCTACCTGAAAAGTCGCCACTAAAGTAGCCAGTCATCGTGTAGCTACGTGGTGTAAATTTCTGTGCCTGGAAGATAAGTAGTGTTTATCCTATTTCATTACGACTTAATCAAATGGGACCGAACCGTTTACTCTTCAGCTACTAGCTGGGAGGTTTTGAGTTCGAATCTGCCCGGGGATTTGTGAAGTATGCACTACTTATTATCCTCAGTAAAGATAAAACAGCTGTAAAATATTTCTTGGCTTCTCCGCAGATTGATTTCACTTACAAGACAAAGATTTCCCAACTCATCGTGCTACCGATGAAACGGTCAATGCTGACGACAGCTGTTCTATTGGAAAAGATAAAACAGCTGTAAAGTATTTCTCGGCTTCTCCGCACAGATTGATTTCACTTACAAGATAAAGATTTCCCAATTCATCGTGCTACCGATGAAATGGTCAATGCTGACGACAGCTGTTCTATTGGTTGTTCTAACAGACGCTTTGTTTTTTCTCTTTTCTCACCTTTCAAGGGTTCAATGTCAAACCTGATCTGGGTTTGCTCAGTGCCTGTTGGAGTCCCACATTCTGGGCCATCTGGTAACTCCGAAGGCGGGCCCAATTCAAATATCCATAGCCTACTTACTATCGTGGACGTTAATAATCCCAAGCAGAATGTGGACTCGTTTGCGATCACGGTTTCAACGGTTCTTTGTATGACGGCCATTCCAAGTAAACTGCTTCAGTTTTACTCAGCTCATTGTAATATGCACCTCTGTTCATTCGCTGTCTTGTTACTGACTTCTGTTTGTATGCTTTTAGGCTCTGATCCTGAAACTCAGATGCACTTACAAGATATAAATCAACATTGGCTTTCTGTTCCTTTGGATCTATCGGAGGAGTTGCTGTCAATGGGGCGGCGAATGACTGCAGTGCACCATTCACACGAAAGTCAGGTACACTCAACCGTACCTACCTATCCTGCGTTATCTCAAAGTGTTTGTTGGTCCACATCTTCCTATTCCATCTCCACGTCACATAGGTATTCAAGTATAATCGAAACCAGTGGATCTGAGCGGAATGTTACCTCGTCTTCGTCGAATTCACATGCAGGTGACTCACAACAGGTTGAACCTATTATGTCCTATTCCGTGGAACGGAGACGCTTTGCGGTACGAACCATACAAACTGATTGCTGTGAATCCGGAACACTTAGACCGTTGTTTTCGTCTGCGGGCCAAGGCCGTGAGTGAATCAATTTGTGTTTCTTTACGTCAACCAACTGTAGCTTCGTCACGAGCGTTTTGTTGTCACAATGCACCGACACCGTCGTCTTGCTTAGTGGCGGAGCTTTTTATAAATACAGTTTTCAGCTCAATGAGTAAACCACACGGCCATCGAAAGACCTTGAGGTACCAACATTTTCGGCGCAATAGATTTCAAAGTAGTGCAGGAATACGAGGTGAGGGTATTCTAGTAATAAGCTGACACTGCTATTTGGTTCGGGCCGTCACATGGGTTTGGTGTCTTTCTGTCAACATTGTATGTCTATAGGGAAGAAGAGCCTGGCGCACGAAAACCAGTCAGTATGATTGCATTAAACTGACTATGTGAATATTGTATGCATGTAATATCAAATTGACTATAATCAAGTGTTTCTTAAGTTACGTACAAGCCCTTGTGGTTAAAGAAGTGCAATCGAAGTCTCCAGGTCACTTAGTAGAGCAGATTACTTCATTTTGAAGTCTGCTGGAGTAGCTAAATTGGGTGTAGACCAACACAGAGTCAGACGTCTCATCAGCTTTTTCCGGTTACGTAACCGAACCCGAACAACCGCAGCTATCGATAACATACGGATGCTCACAGCACGTCGTCGATTTATGGATTCTCAGTAGAATACACGAAAGGCATTTTCTATTTCCATGGTATGGTCAGTCTCGACCGCGTGTGCTGCGATAGTTCAAGAGCTAGGATTTCCTGTCGCATGACCCTGTGGGATGCGTTCGACGCACGTCTCGTCTTACGACCAACGTATATTGCTCGACACAAGCGTATAGATAAATTCATTCGGTAGCTGGTCATGGATTTAGGCAGTTTGTCTTTCTCCCGGGTCGCAGCATTGGAATTCAAATGCAGCATTATATTAGGAAGGTAATGCATAACTGAATTATTTTTTAGAATCCTCATGCACAAGGCTACGATTAAATCCTGTTTGACTGCGACTGTGATTTTATGCTCCGAGGCGGTATTTTTCACTCTTAGTTTCACAGATTGCACGCTGCAGATAACCACTCATGATAAACACTTATTACGCAAATTTTAATTCGTCTAGCGAATGATCATCTGAACATATATATTCATTTCTCAGTCATACATCTGTTTGGATGGAACCTAATTGTCCAGATTAACCTATTACCTTGTTCAAGTCTGCATGCTGTGTACCTTATGGAGAGTAGTGCTGTTCTCTTACGAATCTCGACAGCAAAGAATTATAGTTAGTTATCTTGTTCAGATCCCAGTGTGATTTCGATATTAGGATAAACCGAACTGAAGGATTAAAGGCGGCTGTTCTAACACTGAGATGTCCTCCATGTAGTGTAATTAGAGCATGAACCGTTCAATTTACGGGCTTTATTGCCGGTTCTCGATTCTACTCATGTAGCCATTGCAGCCGGAGATCTCATTGAGATACCATGTTTATTTTGGTATATTTATTTTTGCTAAAGTCGCTTTGGGCTTTGTAAGTTCAGAGCAGTGATAATGGCTTTTATTTTTGTGACAAATGGATGCTGGAACTGCATTCATTCGGGTCACAAACGTGGTTGTTCGAGCCTTTTAATCAAAAATCTTAACACCTTTGTGAATGATCTAGCTCGTCTGTACTTGAAGATTTATGCAAATTTTTTGAAGAACTTAGAATGGATGAAATTTCTGGAAGTTGGTCTTTGACTTCCAATTTTGCCATCTGGGAAACCAGCTGGAACTGAACACTGCTTATAAGGTTGTTGAAAACACTTGGACAACTCACGACCGATTTTGCCACTCTTGGTGCTTATTAGGTGGGCGCTGTTCCCGACCTTCCGTCTACTCAAATTGGACTCAATTCGCAAAGTATACTCATTCACACACTAATTCTTCCTATTTTGGCATAGCGTTTCCTGATTTTTTGTTATTTTGTACTGAGCCATCTAGCACTTTGTTTTTAGGTTGTTCAAATTAGTACAACCTACGGTTATCATGAGTGAATACCTTCGGCTATCTCTTTGCTTTGTACCTAAGGAAAAAGTCCTCACATGTGGACACCCACTTGAAAGTCACCGTCGCTGATGACTACAGCAATAAAGTGGACCATCTTCGACCGCTTGTGCTGATGGTATTAGGCATTCTATCCTTGCAAATCGAACAAACTCACTTGTATTGAACTCAAGCTTGAATACATCTGTCTTTTCTTTCCACTGCTTCCGCAGCCACATCAACACATCCTGACACCTCTATGGTCACTTGTGAGCTTCCCTCATCCACTGTCACATTTGCCTCGGATCCGTCTCCGAATTGCTCAAACATGCCTACTAGCGCGCAACCCACAGTGTGGATTGGATGCTACAATGGGGACGTGTTTGTTCATTCAGCCGTGACACACTGGCGGCGTTCTATGCATGCTGTTCATCTTCCCGATGCTGTCACTCAGATTTGGTAGGTACTGAGGTGCCAGAATGGTGGCGTTGGCATACGCCAACGTTTACAATTGGTGTGCATTTTCAGAGGGTCTCTTTCGTAGGCTCTGATACTTATCGTTTAGTCGTGTATCTTGGTGGAAGCAATTACTACGAAGTTTTGCTATTCTGATAATGTGCTTCTCGCCAGATTCTTCTTTGAACTTTTCGTGTATTGTATTGCAAGTAAGTAACAATTCACCCGTTCCACACATTGGTTCCAAATAACCTCCATAGCAGTAAATTCTTCTAGCTTCCCGACAGACATTTGGTAAGATGGGCTCGTCAGACCATCGCCAGTACTGTAGTTTACAGTAATTCAGAAGAACACGTAAGTACGGACACGGGTGTATTGCGTGCACGTGGCCAAACTGGTCCGCTTTCGTGGCAGGTCAGCAAACAACCGAGTCACATATCCAGTCGACCAACAAGGCTCACGCGAGCCAACCAATCGGACACGCATCCAATCAGCCACTCAAGTCACACGCCAGATCGATGGTGGAATGCAGAACGGACACCCACACGCGCTAAATCTCGGACACACCGAGGCAGCTACTACGTCGTGCCTGCTCCGTTGTCTTAGCTAACACTGTTTGACATGTGAAAGCACAAATTCTCCCATGGTTCAGCTATTTTTCAAGCCAACGTTCAGTTCATACGTAAAAAAACACCTTTTGATCGTCCAGCTAAATTGCATTATTTTTGTCACTTTTGCTACGGACAGTGGATCCAGTATTGAACACATTCGTGTTGACGGTTATGTTGGGAGTTATGCATCCAACTATTTACGTTCAGTGTGTCCGCGCGATATTTGGTTTATTTGTCTCTCCCCCCGCAGATTAATGCCAGCTCTCTCACATGACCGTCTGCCTGTTTTCTCTGAGCCGTAACAAGGGGTTACCGCATCCGTTTACCCGCAAATCTATGAGTTTGCAGACCGAATGAGTATACAGTGCCACCCAAGAACTGCTTCTTACCAGTAGCTTGTTTGGCAATGAGCGCTGTGCGTTGAAGATTAGGGAGGTTCCCACGTGAAGCAATACACGATACCGTTTAAACTAAGGATTTCAGCACGAAAAAATAAATGTGCGAGAAACGCAGTTTCCTGATGATGACTAGACCCTACTAGGCAGTGATCATGTTACTTGGCTCGGTGGTGAAAGTTCGAGCTATTGACCGATAACTACGGAGTTCGAGTCCACCCTTTGCTCCTATCTGAGCTTGGTAAACACAGCAGTTTTCCATTCATCCTCCATCCTCCAGGTTGTATTATGGGTACCAAAGGTAGATCCCAGTCGGAATGCTCATTTTTATTCTTTAGTGGTTTGTGTGGTCGAAATAATTTTGTGACCAACGGACACTATCGTCTCATAACATCCCATCCGAATCCCTTATGCATTCTACTCGATTTTCTTTCATTCCTTCATCGCAGTCACTTCAAAGGGTACGCGTTCATCAGCTTAGCCAACGGACAGATTGTGGTATTTCGACGTCGTCTCCGCTCCCCTCACCCTTCACTCATTTCTTCCGTACATTCTGTTCGAGCTTTGGTCTCATCCTCCAACCTACCAGACGAAGGCCCACCACCTTCCATGGGTTCGCCAACAACCTCAACCAGTCGGTTACAGATGTCAAATTCTATCTGTTCTGCAAATGCTTTCGATTGGTTTGCCGGCACGTGGGACTTCACTGAGGCCTGTGTCATTACGTGTGGTCATGTTCGTTCTACCGGTCGACGAATGGTTTTAGTGTCATGTGGTGCTGCCTCCGTCTGGATTGCCTCTCGCAGCCGAATCACGGTTATCAATGCGACCACTCTACAGGCTATTAATGGGTATGTTGGTGCACATTTCGCTTTTGTTTACTATCGTTCCGGTCACGTTTGTAGTGTGTCAGCTATGATAATCCAAATAGCTAGTTCGTAGTTCCAATCGGAACTCGAACCTGAAAACTTGGGTTGTGACATTGCTTTAGCGATAATCACGTGACCTTGTCTCCATCACATTACATTCAGCGATGGTGATGACCTCAATGTGAGTATTTGGCATGTGTTCCTAGTCCCTCAGTCCGCTCGACACAATCGTTCGCGATTGGAAGGATGCAGTAGCAGGTTGCTAATGGGTGCTCGACACAGGAAGGATGCAGTAGCAGGTTGCTAATGGGAAGGTTGCATGAATGTTGTTGTGTCTTCCGAGCTGAACAGTTCGGTTACAAATGTAACGTCATAAAACCAGATCAGTGAGCAGTCCAACGGTTATGCCAAGCTTGGTAAGTGCTCCATTTGCGGAACTTGGCACTGTGCACATCAAACTTCAGTAATATCACCCGAATTCCCAGTATTTAGATTCTTTGTTACTAGCTGTAAACCTGTCGCGGCAGTTTTTTCCACGTCGCCATAACCTTTAAAAAACCAGTGTCTAACACACAGTGACGGCCCTGGATTGTTCTAGTTTTTTTTATTGTTGCTGATGCTGATGGCACAGTGTCTTCGGTTAACTTAATTTGGTGGCCTACTGCGCATATTTATTCATTCAATCTTGTTCCCTAAATTCCACCTGGATGATGTTCTTTAGGATTGAAAAAAAGTGATTCGGGCTAAATACACGCATTTCAAACCAATTTGGATTTATTGGAAGACTTAACGGAATTCCAGCTGAATCTTTCTTTTATACTATTCTTCAACTGACTGTTGCATAATGGTCGCCTCATTTTCCAATTGATACGATTTTCGAGAAATATCGCAGTATATTTTCTGATTGAACACACTACTCATAGGATTGACGAAATCTCTCCTATAACCAATACGGGACTTCGCTGGGATTTAGTGAAGTCTCCCCTTGACACCGAATTAGTTTACAAACGACTGTAATTCGCCAATTAGCGTGCAATTTGGTATTCAACTAAAGTGTAGGGTTTGTCCCAAACGCGCCTCTCTCTCGGTTCTCGGTAAAACATTTGATCCATTGATGAGTTCCACATCTCATTTGGCTCGCTCCTCTTGAATAATCAAATACTGTTCATTCCACAGTTTTGAACTTCCGTCCCCTCGAGGTGCCCAGGTTCACCTCATGGATTCAGGTGGTGGTGCTGTGTGGATCGGTATGCGCCCTGACGCTGTCCTCTATTCCTATGATGCCGTGACACAGCAGCTTCTACAAACTGTGGAGTTTGGGACAATACTCCTAAAGCAATTTCGTGAGTTCGTTTCCTCGTTTTCAATAGCACCTTTCCTATCTTTGCTCCAAAGTTATTCTTCACGTATTGTTGAATAGACTTACCTTTTAGTTCACCCCTTCGACTACTGAGTGATATTCCATACGTCCGATGACTTGTTTTTCTGCAGTATGTCTAGATTTAGAGCCCCACTAAAAAGGGCTCCGATTTGTACTTTTTTATGAACTGTGAAAAGAGAATTATTTTCAGTGTATCATCCCACTTGCATTCACTCACGCTGTGACGGGTTTACTGATCCCGGCTACTGAAGCTTTTCCGTCACGGCTGTTCGATGTCTTGACGTTGCTTGTATGATATGGTCTGTTCGTCCTCGTTTCGTTTGCGTTTTATTTTCTGTTTGCATATGACATCACCGTGCTGGTGCTCTTGAACGCTGATATTCTACAATGACGCTGTTTAAAACCTGCGTGCTACCAAATATGGTAGCCTGAATTTGTCTCTGTGAGTGCAAGACGGAAGAAACCGTGACTATCCAGGTTGAGAGTTGATTCATACTACACCGCAGTATAGTAACCTCTATTCAGAGAACACCTCTGGGAGCTTCTGGAACGCTTCATCGACTGGACAGTTTTCCCTGTGGAGGACAGCCAATAATGACCATGCCTTTTGCACTGGGATGAGGAAATTTCACTTGAATGTGGGTGCTTTCCAGCAGTTTTTTTTTGATGGCGATGAGGTGGATTCACTACTCGGTTGTCTGTGGTTCACACTAGCACAATCCTGTCCACGTGGGTGCCCAATAACCAATAACTCTTCATCTGGCTAAACAAGAATAATGACAATCAAACTTCATAAGTTATCATGAAGGCACGTTCATATACAGCATCCAAAAACATTGAATTTTGCGCAACCCCATCCTATTCTTCAGCTGTCATCTTCGTCTGTGGTTACACTAGCACAATCCTGTCCACGTGGGTGCCCAATAACCAATAACTCTTCATCTGGCTAAACAAGAATAATGACAATCAAACTTCATAAGTTATCATGAAGGCACGTTCATATACAGCATCCAAAAACATTGAATTTTGCGCAACCCCATCCTATTCTTCAGCTGTCATCTTCGACCGTTATTTCAACCTTGAAATCTTCCAATAATTGGTGCTTCTTACGCATCCGCGGCTATTTTAGCGCCTATGCTCATGAAGTAAGCTTTTAAAATGCTAGCTAATCAGTAAATCAAGATAAATGATATATGATGTTTCCCTTCTAACTACTTTTGGAGACTGAGTTAGTCATTTAGAGAACCAGAATGGGATTTTAGGATTTGATCTCCCGTACTTTGTAGTAATGCTGTCTATATCAACTCCGCCTTACGGCAATAGTCAAAAAATGTTTTGTAAAATAATCAGCCTCAGTTCAACCGGACATTCGCCAAGTCATATTACTGAAGATCGCATTTCTTGTTACCAATAATCACAGCTTTTTGTAGGCATGTATCATCAAAATCCTATCCTAAGCTCTGCCCCGAAAGTTGGTCGGCTCTTACCCCTCTGACCTGTACTTTCCCGAAGCCCACATTACCTGCTCACTGATTTTAAGGTTGGCAAACTCATTGGTCGGCTCACTGTCGGACTTAGCCTAATCAGTTTCGTACCATTTGTCTGCTGCATACTCCCCATTATCACCATCACCGTCCTAATACGATTGGGAGAGTAATGGGGTTTAACTACCATACTGAAGTGTCAGCTCATTTAAGGTAATCTGCCTACCAAAAACGACCGATGCACTTGTACCTTCATGCATTCACCTCAGTAGTCGAAGGAGAAACTGACTACGTTAGCTCAAGCAGGGTCACGAGCAACCTTCTACAGGGGGATTGGAACCGACAACTCTTGAGCATCTCCTATTGAAAGTTACTTTCAGTTCAGGAGGAGGATTGCCTGCTGATGGTTCACATGACTATATTTGACCATTTTCACCAAGTTTGTTTCATTGACACTCACTAAAAGGACTAACTCGAGACAGTACATTATGGAAGACATGGCCTTCGTTCGTAACTGGGCAACGCGGCAGTAGCCCGGCCCTCGTGTTTCCTTCTGGTGGCATGAGAGTTAGGCACCGGAAAGGTGCTACGGCTAAACGACCAGAACGGAAACCTCCGCGATTGAATGCTCCGCAATTTCGGAAGTCGTTCGGCTATCACAGAAGCAAAGATGGCGACAATACGCGCAACAGACCCAAAAAAGCTTATGGTGAGCGAAACAACCAATCATAAAAACGGCTCGCTCATTTCCAAGAGGGACACCTAAATCATTGGGCTTAACACTCAGGAAAATTCAACTGACCATCTGTAATCAGCTAATCGGATTTCCAACACGTAGCAAAGCCCTGGACTATGAACTAGGGATCTCGGACAACGTGTGAAATACCCAAATGATTTTTCTTCCTCAAGCGCCATGGAGTTCTTGTCCTGACAAATCCCAACCCGTTCTTTTTGAAGATGGAAATAAAATTCCCAGTCTAAGTTATTTGCCTATATCTGGATAAAACAAGCCGTCTCAACAAACTGGGATGAGTTGGTAGTAATGACAAGTGCTCGCAGGCATTGTGGCTATTGCAAGGTTGTTTATGTCCCTGTTTCTACGTCGTCTGATGAAAGCATATGGGAGGTCTCCAAAAGCTTCATGCAAATAATAGCATTCGACAAGGATGATCACCTGCCCATTTTCGTTTAATTTTGTCATCGATAGACAACGGGGTGAACTCTAATGGATCTCTAACACTCCAGTGTTGAGATCTCTTCGGACTAGAACACTGTTGACCTGGACTTTTTAAACAGTATTGTTCCTCTCTTTCAGGAAGAACAGAAAGCGCAAGTATTACTAGAAAAGTTCCTCCAGTTCTTTCGCTTATGGGTGTTTCACACCCGTAAAGTGCTAACTCACGTATAGTGATGATGATCAACGAAAATGCTGGTTTCATGCCAATGAATGCGTTCGTCTGGAGTCTTATAGGGACGCATTTGTAATGCCATCTTTACGCAACGAAGTTTCATTGATAATCCAGTTTAAATGTTACCACATGATGTAAACAGGATGGTCTTTCAAGGTTTGCTGGGCGAATGTCCCAAAAGGACGACCTATTATTCACCGAGATCAACAGATTTTCATGGTGGCGCATGTATGTGGCTGTTATTTGCGCCGTTGTGCTGATAGAGGCTAGCTTAAGTTTCTTTGCACTTTGGTGATTTGGCGTTTATCCGCTTCATGAGTCGATGCTTTTGTATCGCAGCAAGGTGGAGTTTAACTCATGTCCGAATGAGGATTTGAGCCAACCTTTCCGGTTTCCCCTCGTCACTCGTCCCCTTCCACTCTACGACGGACAACTTTCTACCGCTGACACCCATCAAAATTGTATCAAGATCCCTGTGTGACAGATGTCAAGACTCATTTTTATTCCCGGTTAGCAAGTATTGGCAATTTTGTTGTTTGTTTGTTCGCTGAGCTGGGTAATTCGACTGCGAACGTTTAATCACCAATCGAGGTGAAATCAGTTCGTTTTTAGAGTTGGTTGTTCGTACAACAACCAACCCACCGCCACGCACCACTACACATCCTAACAACGCACTGATGATATCACCTCGATTGGTGATGAAACGTTTGCAATCAAATTGCCAAGCTCAGCGAACAAACCAACGACCATTTACGCTACCTGAACTACCAACATTTTCCTCTGTATTCGCAAGTATTACTTCATGTGCTGGAAGCACTTATTGCTGCGGACTTTACAGTTCGGCATAGCGCAGTTTACAAGTCAATCACTGTTCTTACATCACTTTGCTGTTTCGGACTGCTCCACGATATGGTTCAGTTGAGTCATCTGATTACACTGGTATTCCAGTTAATCGCAGTTAATCGTATATCGCCTCTAGATATCCCACCCTTTCTGCAGCACATCGTAAAAAAATTTCTCCGGTGTGAGTATCCACTACATAGGCGGGTAAGTTTACAGCAGTTATAGTTAAATACAGCAGAATACCCCTATGATTCCAAGATGTGAGTGAGCTCTGGGTGTGGTTGCTCAAAACATGGACACTTCCGTAGAGAACCGTGTTGTCCACTGGACTACTGTGGCACAGCCGGGTAGCAGGTGCCTCGTTCATGCCACAGGGATTCGTGTGACTCCTGAGTTTGCTAATCTAATCTCAGGCGGACATTTGATGTCTAACCATGAATCATAACCACTTTGCATGATCACTTCTCAGTCAGTCACTTAGCAAATTTGGACGTTCCAGTAGCTGATGCCAATAGGCCTGCTTGCATTGAGTCTTCCAGCTAGCTTACTGTTTTTCCCTGCCGCATTACAGATTGGTGTCTCATGCAAACTCCATAGCTTTTTTATTTGGCTTGTTGGTTGATTTAGACATCGTCCTGGTGCTGCGAGGGTATACCATACAAGCAACATCTTGAGTACCACTCGAACATTTGATTTCTGCTCAACTGGGCGCACTCTACGTAATAACCATTGAGAAAGATAGGTCAGAACTGTCGTGCTAGTAGCTGAGTTCCGAGAGAGTTTGTGTTCGTCATCTCTACCTAAACTCGTTTGTGTTTTCACTCTTGGCTTAAAATTAAGGTTCAGCCCACTCTTCTAGACGTACAACACTGGACAACTACATAGGTTACAACGCCTGGTGCTCGCTTTGGCCCTCCTGATTTAGTAGGAATCAGTGAATGGGCCTTTCTTCTACAGGTCTTTTTGAGGTGTTTCGATGCAACTTCACTCGTTTCACTAAACAATCGTGGTGACTACTTTGCAGCTTTTGGAATGAGCCAGTCCAACATTTTTATTAGTCTGATGCTCTCGAGCTGTCTAGTATGAGGAAAAACAAACATAGGCTAGACTCTGTTGGATAGATGTAAACGGGTGTTTGTTTTCATAAAGCAAACTACTCAAAAGGTTGCTGAAAAACTGGTTTTATCTCTCCTGATTCTTTATAGTGCATTCAGGTATCCAAAAAATCAAAGCCACGGGTAGAGTGAACAGTGTTTTCGCACCAGGAGTAGTCCATGGGGTTTTGTGTATTGAAGCACCACCAACTAGTCTTATGGTTAGTGATCCGCGTATTATACAAAAATGTAGTTGAGTTGAATCACCTGACAGTATCCACGTGAATCGGCGTGAGTCATGTGGCGATGGAGTTATTTAGGTTGTAGGTAAACACTGTTTACTGAGAGAAAATTTCGAACGTAAAGTAATATAACCCGCTGAAACCTTAACTTAGTTCTTAACATCGTTGTCTATCTATTCGTTGCATCATATGTACCTGAAATTTTCAACTGAAAATCTAAGATTCTGCTGATTCACTACTTCCTTGCTATTTATTCAACTACTTAACTTCTCAGCCTAGGTTCATTTTCATTTGTAGCACTGGTTCTTTACTTAGCGAGGCCATTTTCGCATTCAGAGGACTGATAGTTCTTGATTGTTGGCGTTCAGTTTGTTGAGGCCTGCTTATATCTTGCGTAAACTTGTCTTCCTGTGCCATGATGACTGCCCTCAGCATAAAGGTGGACTGTGAACATGGAACTCCCTTTTAGCTTCAAATTGTCTGAATGTATATCTCTACTCGCCCTGTTCAAGGATGGTGGTGAATTCCTCAGACAGTGCGTGTCTAGTCTATTTGCATCTATCTCAGGGGGCAGAGACCGTCCCAGACAAGTGGAGTGAGTCGATAATAGTGCCCACTTCAGAAGGGTACTCGCAGTGGATATGATAAACACAAAGGCATCAGCTTGACTCCGGTTGCAACAAGGCTCCTAGAGTCACTGATCCTCTGTCGTGTTACGATGGTACGCAAATCCTTGACCCTCCAGCATCAAGCGGGATTCCAACCGCGTATAGGCTGCGTTGACCACATTCTCACACCCCACCAGGTGCTAGAACAACACCGCATGTAAAAACGACCCGCAATCCTGGTGTTGCTGAATTCAAGGGGGCGTTCGATTGTGTCGATCGGTCAGTGCTCTTTGCCGCACTTGCTCAGCAGGATATGTCCCATAAGTTTGTGAACAAAACCTGGTCCCTATAATCACACTCCCGGGCGTGTGAGAGTATGTAGTGGGCTCTGTGAAAGCCTCGTCACAGATGTCTGACAAGGATTTCCACTCTCTCCAGTTTTGTTCAACTTCGTCATTGATGGAATACTGAGGCGAACACTGGAAGGTGTTCAAAGCCCCGGTGTTCGGGACGTTGCTGGTGAGAACCTTGTCGATCTGGAACCCGCAGACGATATCGTCTGTATCTTTGAAGATGAAAGCGAAGCGCAATCCCTGATGAATAAACTGATCATCATGATATCTTTCTGGATGCGCCTTGCACCTTCAAAATGCAAAGCAATGCTTCGTAACGTGCAGTCTGTGAACATACCTCCTTACCATTCAAGGGAACCATTGGAGGTTGTGGGGAATTTTACATACCTCGTCAGTTGTATTAGCTCTGACGGGAGTGTGTCTGATGAAGTTATTGCACTAATCGCAAAGCCAGAATCGCATTTGTTAGTTTGCATCACTTGTGGCGTCAAAACGGTATATCACTGGGTCTCAAGAATCGCGTGTACCAGGCTACAGTAAGAGCTGTGTTATTGTATAGTTGCGGACCATGACCCCAGAGGACAGATTATGTGAGGCCTCTTCAGTTTTTCCACTACGGATGCCTCAGAATAGTTGCTGGTGTCGGGTGGCGCCGATATTTTTGTAACGAGGTAGTCAGGAAACGTGTAAGATCATCTAGCATTTATTTCGTCTGCAGAAGACATTCAAAGCCGTCATCCGCGTTGGCTCGCTCATATGCCGTGAATGGCGAATCACGGTATACCGGGGCGAGTATTTTTCTGTGTCTCTTTCGGAATAATGCAAGCCACCACGCGGGCAACGTGGCTTTTGGAAGAAGGATGTGGTTACAAGGAGCTTGGGTGTTGGTATGGTCCACCTTTTTGAGATGCCGTCACCATGACCCTGTGTGTACTTGGTTGGAGACGTTTTAAGAGGTGGTATATAACCGATGTTAGTGGTTTTCTCGCTTTCATTTTCTTTGCAGATTTTCCTGTCGAACGTTTGGATATGTAGGCACCTCAGACTTGCCCCTGCACCACCCAGTTTCTTTTTGTGCACTTTGTTGCACCAAATATGGTTAAATGAATTTTCTGGTTGCACAGCGGTGAAGCATCAGTACTAACATCAATGCTTTTGTTGCGGGGATGATAGTGCACCACTAAACAGCGACACGCTGCTTATTCACTACGCACTGATAACGTCACACTGACTGGTGACAAAGGGTCTGCAACCCAAATGCCAGTGTAAACGAACACGACCACCGATATTTGCATCGTGGTGCTTAGCACCTTCTCTTTCCCAGGTTGTTTTCGATTCTATATGCTGCCTGAGTAATTGGCGTAGAAGGACCATACCTTGGATTTTCTTCAATCCTACTGAATCTCCTGGAGATTTCTTACGAAGGGCAGGATTTTGCGTTCCATTCTCTTCGTTTTCCCTTAGCTTACCATTTTCCACTTACCAGACTTATCGGTATCACATTTTAGTTCTGTTTTTACTTCTTCTGACTCTTGTATAAAGCTGCGAATCTCCAAAATGATGAGGCCAGCTGTCTGCAAATTGTATAGCATCGAGTTTTCCCGATCGACGATAACGTTAGTATTGCGGCTGGTGTGCGAGTTTTTGCTCAGATAAGTGTATGCTGAACCTTTAAACACCAATTCTTAGAAAAATAAGGTTGTTGGCCTAAAGGAGCTGCTACTTAGACTCCCACTTTCCTTGAAATGGTTCGAAAACGTACTATGTACACCATGCTGTGTGTTATTACCTCATAGGATCGGATTCCCCCTGATAGCCGTTTAATGTGTTTCCGCACCTTTATCTGGCTAAATGATTTCCTAACCGGTCAGTTTCTACTAAGTTTTCTAACGGAACGTAATCATTCACTGAGGCGCGACCGTACGTGTCAAAGAATGTGAACGGTGGTACCCTTCCAGATTCTGTTCAATTTTCCGTCTGACTATTTAGTCTGCCGATTGAATTCATAGCCTTCAAGCATACGTGAGCGAATCAGACTGCCACTCAGTGGAAATTCAGAACGGACCAATCAAATGGATGAAAAAGGAGTATGAAAAATGGAAAACCAGCGTGGTGACCAGTCGAATAAAGAAAGGCAAACCATGGCGCAGCAGAACTCGGAAACCAATCAATCAGTCCAGGGACAGGAGATTTTCGGACGGAAATAATCGACTCACTAATCGAATTCAAGGAGTATGGACCGCAACACAACACAGGTCGGAACAGACCAGTGTCCCCGTCAGCCACTCAATGAAGTAGTTATCATCTAGACTTTGGCAACAATTTAAGCTTAGGCACATAAGAAACACTGTCACATGCACTGATGATGTCACCTCGGTTGGCGATGAAACGTCTCCAAGCTAATTGCCAAACTCGCTGAACAGATCAACCGGTAACAGCTAGTGACTTTGTTCACTTCCTACTCACGTACAACCGTCTTATGCTTTTTCCGTGTCCACCGCTCAAGTGAATTTAATGTCCGACAAATATTGGTCTTGACTGAACTGAATATGTCTCGTATCCTTTCGAGCGCCCATAGACCTGGTAACATTAGTTGTTGTTTCTTTTCACATGCTGCAGCTGATCTCAAACGCCACGGATGTTCAGGCTGTCGTAAAGGAAAATGCTCCCACCTCTCCGTCACAGCCATGATGGTTTCAGACGTGGGTCTATGGCTGGGAACCAGTAACGGAATTGTGGCCAACGCTCCCTGGGACAAGCAGAAACATGATGTCCCGAGCAACCATTCAAGTACAACGGGTAAAACTCGCAACAGTTTCCCTGATCTGAACGACAGTTATCCCGCTGTGTGACCGTGGACGAAGTAGCCATGTTTGCTATATTCATATGTATCTTCTCACACCAACCCGTTTGTGGCTTAGAGACGCCAGTGCCACGGGACATGATTGGTGGAATAGGTGTTCTCATCGTACTCATACAAACACTCCTGAAGATGGTGGTTGTGTTTTGGGAATCATGTATTCCGAAGCGAAAATAGGCAACTGATGTTGAGCTGTCAACTTAGTAGCTTGGCACTGCACGGTGCTGTCTGTTAGTTTACTGGAGTTGTTTCTATTTTCCACCCTTTCTGCTAGACCGCGGACTTTGAGATGTTATCCACAAAGTTGAATTTTCAAACCATCTTGGTTCAACTTCCGAAGTAACCTTATAGAAGTTCGTTAAGCTTTTCTGAATTATCTTGGTTCTCTCACACTTTCCTTCGTTATCCTTTGGATGAAATCATCACCAGTGGTACTAATCTTACATATCGGATATGAAAGCAGCGTAACAAGTAATTGCTCAGTAGCTAACTGGCTACTCGAATAAGAATTTCGGTTCATCTTATCAAAATTGCGCTGGAAATGCTTTTTTCCCTTGTACAATGCCTCCCGGTCCTCCTGGGACCGGTAGCTAAATCCACTCCCTCTAGATAGCCTGTCATCAACCGATCCGCTGGGACTTCTACTTATCTTTCCCATTTATCTTAGGATTGTTGAGCAGCCTGAGTCGCAGACGATAATCTCTTTCTCATAGCAGTGTTCCAACAACTTTTAAGGCACATTTTCACTTCAAGGCATATTTAATTCGGTTTACTTTACAAGATTTCGTCTCCGTCACTTTTACCCTCATGTCGTTCATAGACAGCAGCTTGTCTCTGACTGACCTGAAATTTTTCCGTATAATTCCTCTGTTTTTATCATAATAACGCCATAGACCTATGCCCCATGACCAACATTTAGGTTTATATACTATTTACACTGCCTGTTAGTAGCTAATTGGTGGCAGAGAAACAGGATCATATGTATAATTTGACTTTCTAAATAATATTCAGCGGACTGACTACTTGTGGTTACTTTAAAAGCATCGTTGGGCAGCAGTAGTCCAAATCGGACTTTGCAGAGTAGATTAGTACTCTACACTTTACTCTCGTACTTATCCTCGGCGTCCCAACCCAGCCTATTTCTTGGTCCTTCTTGTTTATTTACTCTTGTACAAAAGTGATTCGGGGACAGTGCACATCTCTTAACTTTCACATTTCTCTCGACTGCACGTAGGGCCTACTTCATCTGGATCCGTTTCTGTGGGTACTATCCTCGTCTCCAAACTTCAGGTTAGTTGGCTTTGTGTTCGCTTGGTTCGCTTTTATACTGGTGCTGGAATAGAGTTTATTTTATACAATCCTACAATCGTAATAGGGAAATTTGCAGGTGGCTTTTCTGTTTCTAATCAATGTCCTAGTCTGTCTATCACGAATACCTGGTCACAAATCGTTGGCATTTTTAGGATATAATCCTTGTGATTGTAGCTTTGGCGGGAATGATTCATTTTACTGAACCATAACACATGATGGTATTGTGTGACCAATATATCGAATCAGTCGGACAAAACGGTTTACAGACAATACCTCACATGCTTACTTCACTAAACACGTATTTGCAACCCGAAATGGGCGCAAAAAACCGTATAGCCTTAGGTACGATAAAGCGCGATACTTTATCCTGCATAATTCTCTGTCATCTGCCACAGCTGTTCGAGCCATTTGCGTACGTAGTCAGCTGTTATCAAATTAGACCGAACTGATGTCCACTGGCGTCGTTTTTCGGAACATTGGCAACCAACCGCGGCTTCCTTCGTAGACTTCCGAGCAGCATTTGGGCTGAGCTGGAAGCTGGTAATTTGCCTAAGTGAGAAGCTGCCGATTTTTATCAAAACTTACTGCATAAGAACGAAGGACCACACCTGTGTATATGGTAGATTGGTAACTTTATTGAAACGACCAGGTTGCCCACTGCTAGGAAAGCTGTCCGATGTCGAGATCGATTAGACCATGAGTCATGCTCTACAAGGCTGTCCGGGTATTCAACTCGGTACAACCACGTGACTCGCACACCCGGTCCATGTGGACAATAATCCAACAGAACCGTAGATAGTTCTTGATAAGATTTGTCACCATATAGCATTGGTTGAACAGAAGCGGTAGGGAATACGATGTTCTTTGTACATCATCCAGAGCAGTTCTTGTAAGAAATGAGTCATCCAAACCATGTCCTTTAACTATTTCAAATTCATGATTCTACCGACCTGTCGGCCTAAAGAAGAGTTAGATGACAGAATCGAAAGCGATAGTATTTTTATGTATTTGAAGAGTAACATCTGGTAGTGCTTATCTCTGTGAACTAGGTTACGAACGTTCCATGTTTGCTCAAAAATAGGGGGGGGGATGTTAGTCCTTAATTCAAAGCAAGAATAAGTATACATGGACAATTCACTGTTCCGACCTTTGTGTTCATACGGAGCTGAGTAACATCGTATCCGCGAAACTAGAGTACACACATTCCAAAAATGCATCTTACATTTCTACAATCCGGGTGTGAAATTCCGGAATGGATTTGGAACCACAGTTATCAGGGGCTTCAACGGATGAACTCCACTTAGTAGAAGAGAAGCTCTTACTGGTTTGCAAACATTCCAGGTCGTCCCCATGGTTAAGACAGCTTTCCTGTCCTCTTGTCTTCTTGGTAGAGGTTACACGATGACAGTACCCGTGAAGAAAATTCTCCTGGATGGCTATTATATTGTCATTCTGACATACGGAATGCACTATGAAATCGTCTTGGCTGGGAAGCTTTCAGTCAGTTCCCTTTCATAACCAGTTGCCACGTAAAGTACATTCGGCAAGACCATATGCATTATTCAAGCCTTAGTTTCCAGCGATCCAGTGCGCACTGGTTGAGTGGTCATAACACTCACCTTACATGCCAGATGACCGGAAGTCGAATTCTGGTGCGGCGAAGCATGTCTTTTCGATGAGTGCTAATATGAACCGAATTACATTCCTATGGAAGTAGTTATATCGGGACAGTGGAAGTGATGTTCGGTCGAGAGTGCTATGGAGATAAATTTCACATAAAAATAGCGTCGTGTGAATCGTTATATGAACATCTGTATGAACATCTTACGGAGAGGGTATGATGTAAGCTCCCAGTGTCATCCGGCTTTCGTTCAAGTGCCTACATCTAGCTCTTGGATATTCGACTGGTGACGTGCAAGGTAACAGACATAACAAACAGAAACAGACGTTCGACTGTTGAAGCAGAGAAATTGTTGAGATACAGAACCGTCGTCATGGATGCTGGATTCTGGAAATGATCTCCGCGCAATCCGTCGGAACTGATTCATGTTTTCGGAGTTATTGGTTTGGAATAAGTATTTAACCAGCTTCTTTTGACGGACAACCAATAAATCGTCAACGAGGTTATAACACCTGATGCCCACTTTCACCCTTTCAGTTTAGTGTAAACACCCCCACGGGAAGACAGTGAGTAGGACTTCCTCACCAGAGGCCAAATGTTGACAGGTCTTTTGGGAGCGTTTGCTGGAGTGGAAAGGATGACTTCACTCTTTTCTCAAGATACCGACCTCGGCTCCTGGAGGCACCGAAGCAAATAATGTACGATCGCACACTAGCAGTCAGTTTCTGGGATTGTGGCGAATGGCCAATAGAGTTACACCTCTTCTTAAACTTTGTAATCTTGTTTCACTGACCCAATTACATTTCAAGGTAATTTCTCTGGTTCATTGGAGAAAACATGACTTCTTCATGTTCGTAATACCTTGTCTTCTGTTCATGTCATTGTGGTCGATATATGAATGTCACGCTGTACTGGCTTTCTGGCTTTCGTGTTCCACTGATGTTAATCACCTTGTTTAATCTTGTTCGTTCAGGTCAGTCGGCACAAGCACGATGGTGCTGTGCGCTTTTTTACCGCTGTTGAAGGGGGCGACCCCGACCTGAACAGTCAGGATTGTGCGGTCAACAACTCTGAACAGCCTATTGATCAAATCGCCCCACCTTTGAGAAAGTCAACCTCCTGGTCCCCCTTGCCACTTTCTCCTAACAACCAGCCCCAGAAGAGGCTCGTTCTTTCAGGTGGCCGAGGCTATGCCTGTGTAGACGGTACGTGAGTGCTCTTGTTTATCACATACGAAAGTAGCTTCACTTTGCACTTCTCACCCGGCTGTCTATGGGGTACTGGTGTCTCATGAAATATGTTTGTGTATTGCTGAGCCATGTTTCTTTGACTAGTGGGCAACCAGCGATGTAGTTAGTGATTCATCTCGAAATATTGCTGAGACTAAGAAAATCCTCTTAACAATTGTTAGTTTGTGTATCTCTGTACAACTTACCCTCGCCTTACTTCAGTAACAGCTGCGGGATTTGACCGCATTTTCCCTGACACTCCAAAGTCATGGAGCTGGTTTATATGCTTCATACGCCTTGTGCTTGGGTTCCACTTCACAAGAACATATCCTTAACCCCAGCTAGTCTGTACAGAATGAAGGACTCGTGGCGAATAATATTCAGTCATCCTCGGTGGTCCCATCTGGAAGAGAATATTGCTCAGTCCCCTGGAAGATATTAACCTGAAGACTTCTCCCACATCAGGCCACGGGGCACTTGTTGATTGGCATTATACTCGTTTTTTTCTTTAGAGGCCGAAGATCAGTACACGGGTTGGGCCGTTTGATATCCAAACGTTGTATTGTGATACACTGATATACATTTACTGATAACATTTACTGCTTGACAGTTGTGGTGGCTTGTCAATTTCTAACCAGGAAAGGAGGATCATCCTAAGTTTGCAATCGGACGATCAAAGTCATCATCCATTCATTTATGTCTCCCATTGGACAGTACTCTCAGTAGTAGCACCATTCATTCCCGAAGATCGGGAGATCCAACTATCACTATGGATATACCAGTTTAGAAGCAGCAAGCCTTTAAATTGGTGGATGCAGCTCTGTATTGGACGACATGTATTGGCCGAGCGGCATTTCTGCCTAAACCACCAGTTTTCGTCTGTAGGCTACACTCATTTCTCCGTATAATTCCGTATGAAATTGTCTGCCCACTACAATGTAGACTGTAAGTGAACTTTGGAAAGGTGTGAATAGGCACACCACAGCAACGACTGATCTGACCGAGGATCAAAGAAACGGCATCTCTTTACTCTCAGGGATTCTCACTTGATTTTTTGATCGCCCTTTTTTGGGTCCCTTATGACGGAGCGCCCACATGTTCTATCTGAAAAGCCTCTCTCGGTTTGTTGCAGATCCAGGAACAAGGTTGATGCTAACCTCGCTTGCTTGAATCCGCACAAGATACGTTCCATTGACGCCCTTGCTGGTTGTAATTTTTCATGTCCCAATTGGCTTGGTCCTTCTTCTTGAGCCTAAAACACTAATTATCAAACAGTGCTTTTATCTCTCATGGTTCTTATCACCAACTATCAAAGTTAATCTATACTTGCCTTTCTATCCGCGTTTTGTATATAGTCCGCTTGACTGACTTCCCGTAGCTTATGCGGATTTTGTCTTTTCTACACACAGCCTCTTTCAAGTGACCGTGTTTTACTAATGTGTAACAAAACGTTGACTACTTTCCTCCTGCTGCTAATAAAATTATGGTTTGGGCTGTTCAAAATTTATTTACAGATCGACCTAGTTCCGAGCCGCGGTCGTCGGAGGACGGGGGATACCTAATTGTGTGGGATGCTACAGCTCGATAGCGCTTTCAGTGCCACTGTGGACTGACAGCAGTCTGCACATCCAGGCGTGCATTTCCAAAATGCTCTCGAATTCACCGCTTTTACCGTACCATGCTCCATCTCTTTTCCACTCGTCGATAACTACATCTTGGACCGTACTGCATCAATAGCACCAATGAGTAACCCTCGTAACATGAGGCACCTCCAGGCAGAGGTCAGTTATCTCCATCCAATTAGTCTTTCATTCCTCAATTCATTTTTTCATGGCTTGTCTGATCCGCACCGAATTTCCCCTCACAGTTAAACCTCCATCCGTATTTGTATGTTTTCGGGTTGTGCCTCATTTGGTCTATCGTCAGACAACCTTCCTGTTCCCTCCACATCCATCCCGTCCTGCTATTGACTCATCCGATCATCTCATATTTTGTTGACCTTTTGTCATTTCATTAAAAAAACACTTTTGTACATTATAGGCTTCTGAAACACCTCAGTTCTTTGCACTCAAATGACGTCTTCCCAAATTCTGTTAATCATGCGCCCTGTTGGTGACTTATTATTTCCGATGTGCCTCATTACAACTCCCATTAATTCATGGTGCCTTTTGATGTTGCTGGCTCCTGGACTTCTGAATTTCAGCACATCCGCGCTATAGACACCTCAAAACAGACAAATCTATAGGTCGGTACTTTCAAAACTCACGGCCTTCATTGGTTTCCTTGGAGTATTGGCGCCGAAGTCAGGCGATTCCAGTGGTGCCAAGTATCCACTTACGTGAACCTCTTGCACCTGTTCAAATAAATATGAACTGCACCTTGAGAGGACTGTGCAAATCAGTGGGAGAACTTCATGGATTTTCTAAAGAGACGTGCAGCTGTCTTCAAGTTTTTCTCCAGCTTTCACTATACTGCAGTTCATAGCGAACACCTATTATTTAGGAAGGCAAACAAACTGCTTAAATTGCTTCAGAGGGACTGTTAGGTTACTTGGTGCTTTGAATATTGAGTCACAATCTCTTGGTTTCTCACTTGTTTCTATCTCGTCTTTAATACGCTCACATTGGAATCTCCATTGATGTCTGAGTTAATCTCAACACAAGCGGTGTCACAATTTGAAATCGAGGTGGACCAGTAACTGACATGCAGTTTCGTGCAGGATTGTCCAAAATTCACCCGAGTAGATTTACTCAACACTCAGTTTCCGTCTTAGGTTTGGCTCCTCCGAAAGGGTCAAAATGCCGATGTTCTACATCGCCATTTTTATCCGTCTTCAAGAGATGTATACCAGTTGGTCTTTTACATCATGGTGGCAAGAAGACCTACTTTGATTTGAAAAGTTCGGAAGGCTTGGATCACTAGTCTCCTGGTAGTGCGGTGTCACTGAAACGACTGCAGTACATCCTCAACAAGATGGTAACGATTCAGGATAGGTCGATCACTAACTAAGGCGTGTCAATTAAAAGTGGTTGACGCATGCACTTCTAATATGTATACCCAGTCATCATATGGCAAAAAGGCGTTGCCCTCTCAATTTGCACCTTTTGTTGGTGAAAATTCCACTTAGAACAGGAGTGTTTCGGGATATTCACTTCGACTCTCTTAGGACGGTGTGACCTACCCGTGAGAGTAAGCTCAGAACCTACCTAATGGTAGCAAGGGGAGTCCTGATTTGTATTTAATGTCTAATCTAACCAGGCTTGGAGCAGTTTAGCATCCGTTGGTTTGTTGGTTTACTTACGTCGTTCAATACTGTCGTCCACTTACTGTAACCTGTAATTTTTCGTGCATCTTTCTGATATAGTGGATTCCATAGCTTTTTCACGGGAAACGAGGCCGCTCCATTTGGCTCTAGGGACCTGAAGGCTTTGCTCCTCAGAGATACGGTATCCGGTTGATATCGAGTGAGAAATGCCTTTGTAGACACCCCTGAGAATTGGTTTCTCCTCAGAGGTCTCTACGGAGTATTTTGGAGGTCTCATGAAATGGCAACAATTCACCGCAACCATTATGAGTGGACAAAAAATGCAACACGAAAAAATAGACTTCATTTTGCATTACAAACCATTCTTAGCACTTTAACTAGTGGTAAGCCACCAAACGTAATATGGAACCTTTCCATATAAGAAAGTACGGGCACCTATATTTGTGTGAAAAAGTGTTAGCAGTCAAGTGTTCGTAATGGGAACGGTGACAATTAACAGTATTAATCGAAATCAGTTTGAGTTTTCGTGTAAGCAACTGAGACTCAGTGAACTGATTAGAAAAGTGGGATGTGAAGAAGGTAAGTAGTTACATTCAGAAGCTGGTCTTAAGGTTTAAGAAAAACTTCTGACATGTCCTTCAGAGAAACAGAAGAAATCAGTAGTTTATTTGAAGGCAAACGTTTCAAAGTCACTAGAGGAGGCAATGTGTACTTCAAGTGAAATTCATAAGTGTGAGGTGTCTGGGTTCCACGACTTAAGGAAACAGTTGACGAAATCATCGGCATGCGTAGGAAACCTTGAAGGTTATCAGTACTGCAGCCGGAAAGAAGTGAAGTAAATGGGCTTTAGATGGAAGATCACATAACAGTCGCTTTCTGGTTTTTATGCGCCGTAGAGAAAATGGAAGATAACCACGTTATCAGTCGAGGGATCATCATTATCATCTGTGAGAACCGCATACTTGCCGTACAGTGGTCCTAGCTGCTACACTTTCGTTCAATGAGGAGATGGGGTAGGCAGCTGCACTTTAGAGGCGATGGCTGATATAAGTGATGCGTAAATACAGGGTTGTCCGTGGACTCTTAAGTGGGGAGATTGGAAGGGGACTTATGCATTGAACGCAATAGCACGAGTTCCATTGAGGGTGCCACTGTGCCATGTCCGAGAATATCGCTAACCATGGATGTGTCCCGTCCATGGAGACGGCAGTGACGAGCGCAATTGCCAGCTGGTAATGGATCTGATACTTCGCCCCCAAGCCATTGTTTGGCCCCCTGACTCGTTTTCACTCTTCGCTTGCTTGTGCAAGAATAAACTTCGAAGAAGTCAGTTTACTGTCATGCGGGTTGTGCTCCGAACGCGTCGATGGTCAAACAGTGGAAGTCTCCTGACGTTCTCGGTGCGCCAAGGCCAGGTTTCTGGTCCGTTTAATAATGTGGGGCCCACCGCAGCATTGTTAACCCGATCGTTGACGGATAAGCTAATGTGACGCCTACGCCGCAGGTGAAGCACATTCACGAAAGTTATTCTGGCCTTCCTAATTCAGATGGAAGTATCATCTTTTGCGAGACCACCGGGACTGGTACAGCTACCCAGGAGACAAGTTCGTCTACTACCTCAATCGACTCGTCCACAAGACTGAGGCTAGGGTTCGACCCCATCTGGTCTTGCAGCAACACTTTACACTTGGCAGTTGTGAAGAGCATACCAAACCGTGAGACAAAATTACCTGAATTATTTATTATTGTTTGCACTACGATGTTGTTAGATCGAAGAAGAAATAAATCGTCGGCGCACTCGGTATCTGTAAGCGAATGACCCGGCAGCACTCTACCCCGCAGGCCTTAGAGGCTGGTGGTGAGCTTTCCATGTTTGTATCAACGATGAAGTTAAAGAGGTGTTAAGATGAAAGAAGACAGCCCAGTCTGACACCATTTGATGTTATGAATTCAGGCGAAAGCTTCCCGTAGACCTTCACACGTCCGCGAGAGTTGGCATACTGTGCCTTAAGGAGGTTCAAGAATTTATGTGGAACACCTTCGCTCCACAGACTGCCATATCTCCTGATGTTCCTTAGAGTCAACGACAGCTTTGAAGTCAATGAAGACAACCATTGTTGGTCGATGGAAGGAGCGTCACTGTTCCAGAATCTGCTGAAGAGTGAAACTATTGTCGATACATCCTGTTACAGGATGGAGCCCAGATTCGTTTTCGTGGATCTGTCTCCCTTCGAAGGATAAGGTTAGAGAGCCTTTTTGATACCACAGCTGCCAGGCTGGTGCTACGGTGGCTTTCGCACAGCGTCCGGATATACTTTTTGAAGATAGTAATAGCTGTCGACACGACACATTCTGCAGGCACTTCGCTCCATGTCACACCAATGAACACTCTTAGACGGGTCCTTGGGGATTCTGCTTCTTCTTTGAAAAGAGCTGGATGCAGACCGTCTGGTCCTGGTGTCTTTTCACGTTTTAGTCTGGATAATTCTTCTGATGAGCGGTCAATGTTTATATTCCATTCACCCCTATGAGCTGTCTCCACAGTCTGTTTCAGGAGGCCAGCTAAACTGTTGTTTGAAGAATTCGGCCCATCTTTCCAGTCGGTTTTCGAGAGTGAATTAATGAGCCGCTTTTTTCGCTTATCGTTTCACTGACGTTTGCTTTCCTAGGGCTAGTCAGTTGCGTCGGTTGATATAGGGCGCGACAGTCCGTTAAAAAAGGCCCTTTTCATCTCCCGAGCTTTCGATGTTCAACATAGCTGTATGTCTTTCATCAGGCTCTTCATTATTAGGCGTTTGAGGGATTAGTGTGCGCCTTCGTAGTTGTTTCCGTGGTCAAGCGGCACTGGCGTTCTAGGCGATATTAGGCGATCTTGTGGTCGAATCATAGAATCCGGACAGACATCACTTGACGCCGCTAACATATCTGATTTCACATTTTGCTTCATCTACGTTCTCACTACCAGTACAGTATTGGTTTACTGTAGAAAGTTTTTGAACTAGCTCTGATCGACACCGTTGAGCTATGATATTTCTTTGAAGATGGATTGGCACGCTTCTTGCTGACTTGCGGAGGCCTGAAGGGAAGTGAACTGCCAGGTGTGCACGCGCTATGGCGCGATCGGAACCAAGTTGTCTACCACAGAAGAAACGGCAGTCTTGAGTTGTGGCCATCCACCAGTGGCTATGGCCACATGATTCAACTGGGTCCGCGGTTGATTGGCAGTTGGTGACTGCCAGATTACGCGATGCGAACGTTTGTGCTGAAATTCCGTACTAGCCAGAAACAGGTGATGATCAGCGCACAACTAGTGGAGTTGCTGTCCGTTGTCTGTGCGACGAGCATCGACTCCGACTCGACCGCCGGAATGTGGTTCCAACAGATTGAGACGACGGGTTTGGGCATTCATATCGTCCGCAAGGAAGGAGTGGGGTTGAGGAAGTTGTTGGGGAGGGAAATCGCTGGACACAGAACTGTGTGGTTAAATGATACTTCCCGGTTGCCCAGGTCAAGGAAGGGGGTTTGGTTAAGGCACCATACTTTGACCTTTGACTCTAAAGTCTGACCTACAATCCCGCTGGTAGTATGGTTTTCGTTGGGGACCCTTCCAGGAGTCGATAATCCAATAGCCTGACAGACTCGGCTGCGGCGGCTTGGCCTTACCAAAGGACGCAGAGAGGAAGGCATTACTGTCTCACTCCCGATGCGGCTGCACGTAGCCGGCGCTCTTTCAGCGGCATCGGGTTCTTTGGTTTTGAAAGTATTTCGACCATAATGCGCCGGTTGTCGTAGTCACCCGTTGGGCGATCGGAATGTGCGGTTTTTAGGGCCGAATTCTAACCTGTCCTTTCTCAGAGGAGAGCAGCATCGCTGCTTCCATGAAAAT